CAAAGACTGGCCGCGGTCTCTTCCCTGGCATGATGTATGTCTGACGAGGGATGCTAAAAGGCTTGGACCTCTAAATAAATTCTATGTCACCCTAAACCCCATCAAAACGTCACCGCGCCCCTGCCAACATTGATCACATGACGTCACGGTGTAATGAACTGGTATTCTTTATCTGTAGGTGTGGCCTTGAACATGAAACTTTACCACGCTGCTGTATATGAAAGGACAAAACATACTTTCGTTGCAAGTTACCTCGTTGAAGACCGTGCAGGCAGTGCCATTTTGAATTTTTGAGAATAGTGGACCACCTGAAGCATTCTGGAACACACGTCTTGTCTTCGGTTAGGGTTGAAAAAAACCATACGGTGGCATCCCCATTGTGAAGGTCCTTCCTGCCGACCCTCCGCCAACGACGCATGAATTGCAGTCCTCAAGTTTCACCTAGCATCATCCAAACAGAGACCTCGAGGATTGCGACCTGGTATTGACGGTACAGGTGCGACCTCTCCGAGAACCAGCGCGCTTGAGACGAGTCGCAGGTGTACGAAGTCTGGGTCGGAACAGCGAGGCCACTTCTGGCCTCCTTCTGGGTTTTCGGATCACCAGAGCAGCGGGTCACGTTCACGTCGGCTGATGATCTACCCTAGAGCCGTGCAATGTTACGGGCGGAGCCGCAGATGCATTCGAATATGTGCTGAACTTCACAGCGTGAGTCTTCCTACTATTCCAAGTCAACCACCGCCAGGCTCGTGCTGCAACGGAATGTTACACAGCTTTGCCGGCTGGATGTACTATCGCGATACATTTGTATCGCGATACTGCCCAACCCTGACATACATCCCTTGTAAGAGACAAACTAGAATATGCGTCAGTTATTTGGAATCCACACCAAGCCTATCTAGTTAATGAATTAGAGTCTCTCCAAAATAAAGCATCCCGGTTTATAACACGCAATTATTCAACCACCTGTAGTATAACAAGTATAAAAGAGTCCTTAAATTTAGCATCTCTTGAGAACAGAAGGCGAATCGCCCGTTTTTCTATATTTCATAAAATATATCACTCTTCTACACTTTTCCATCAAACACACATTGTTCCAGCTAACCGCATCTTCTCACGGCTAGACCACCCCAAAGGCTCTCCTTTGTATAGGCTCAAAGGCTCTCCTTTGTATAGGTTAGGTTGCCGTTTCCACCTTGCCGTTTCTGAATGGAATGCCTTACCGCGTGATATCGCAGTGAAACAGGATTATCAGGCTTTTTTAAATCTCCTGATACCTTCGTTTCACAAAAAACATAATCATGGTTGCCCTTCGTCGCAGATAAGCCATAGTTCTGCAGTGTGTCGTTGGTTTTCTTTTTGTATTTGTATAATATTACCATTGAAGTGCAGCGATTGAACTTTGTGATCATATGTACTGCCTTTTTGTGTGCCGCGGCTTTCTTTTCTTTTCTTTTTTTTTTTTTGTTCTTTTTGTATGAATCCCCACTATGTAATGCCCGAAAGGGCCCTTACGCTAAATGAATAAAAATGCAACCCGGAACTCAGCACTACCTATAAGCAATAAAAAAAGAAATCAGCACCATCAGCACTAGCTATGAACAATAAAATCAGTATCATCAGCACCACCGGAGCTTCGCCCCAATCATCATAGTTCACCACCTGGAGATACGGCCTCATTTTTTTCAGCTTCTGCACGTGCTGAACATACTAGACGCGCCACCTGGGGGCGACGTACGGCGACGCTATCGGTGCACAATATATGCAACAATATAATATTTTACTGCAAAGCAACAAAATTTATTCAGAGAGCTCCAATTCAAATATTTTAACTTACGTTCATACTAGGCTGCGAACAGTCAATGGAAATGAATGTATTTTCTTTTGAGTTCAGTAACAACATATATAAGTCTAGCCGCCCTTTGTGCATTATTTTTGAACCTGCCCTATCATTTTATTGTCACGATAGCATATATTGAGCAAATCATATTAAAAACAAATAATGCCCCTAACTTTACGTGTGTTTTCAATTTTGGAATATAAATTATTACAGTTTTAGCATATTGTGCGCAGTAGACAAGTTTGAAAGGAACTCCCTCGTAAAATACCAGAGATCTATTTTTTTTTTTGTTAGGTACCTTTTTAAATAAACCTTGCCTTTTTTCTGTTGAAACGTACTTTTTATTAACTTTCGAATCGTCTGCTCTCGCGATCCGCGTCCATCCGGGACTAAAGTTTGGCCGTCGCCACAGCCCTGCTGAAAGAACATCGAGTCCCTTGCATATGTTTATGATTCACTGATCACAAGACGATATGATCGTGGTGGACGTCACCGTGAAATGCTTGCATGAGAGCCGCAGCTGCCGTGAGCAGGCATTTAGTTATCGGGTAGTTTTAGGGAACCGTTTTGCCCATCCGATACATTACGATGGACCCTCCGTTACGATCTGCGCATATGCCAGTCTTTTGTGGAAGCGCATGCGCTGTTCGTTCCGGAGGGCCCATCACCCTCCGTTACAATCTTCCCATATGCCAGTCTTTTGTGGAAGCGCATGCGCTGTTCGTCCCGGAGGGCCCATCATAGCGTATCGGATGTGCAAAAACCGTTCCCTAATACTCCTTGTTATTTTTTTTTTTTGACCGTGGTATTTTAATTGTGAAGACTAAATCGGAGGGGAAACTCTAGGATTATCGTCTTAATCTTTCATGAAGCTGCTAAATATGTAGAACGTGTTAAAATCGTAGATTTATTTTGAGAAAAAGAAATGCTTCAGCTCTTGATAGTACACACATTTTGTACAAAAAGGTGTCTCGGAAAAATATACCCCTCTCTGCACTTTGCGGTTCCAAGTGAAGTTACTCAACACAAATAACCGAGAACAAGAAAAGAGCCTGCACCCGGATGAAAGATGGCGGTCCTTCAGTATAATGAATTATTTACGAGATTCTTTTGTTTTTCAATATCAGTGCGTTTATTCTATTTTTCTTTGGCCTGCATTCATTGGTTTTTTCAAGGCTTAAAACATTTCTGTAAACTTTTTGTGAATTCCTGATTCCATCAGCCAAGCAACAACATTGAGAAGCCCCTCGGTAGATAACACTAATATCCTATGAATTCCCTCAGGCGCAAATGATTTCCTTTTTTGCTTGCATGACAATCGACACGTAGGGCGACCTCGAATATTCACAGCATCAGGATCACTTTAGTTCAGACGAACTGGCTCTATAAAAACTAGCGCTTTTAAATCTATGCAGCAGAAAGAAACTCAGCACTTTATTTTAAGTGAAATAACGTTTGTGTTTATCCCTTTGCTGAGCAATGTAAAGTGGCCGCACCTTCTTAGTCTTTCTTTCTGAAAGACCTCAGTTGTCTGTTTTGGGTGTATGTTTACACACAATATTAAATTAATAACATACACACTTGGTAGATTGTGACGTCTAAATATACCGTCCACGTACAATAAAACATTCAATGAATTCTTGTATAAACACTGGGTAGATTTTATTAACGTAACGTTTTTGAAATTATATAAAGAGCAGCCAAGATGAGCCCTCAAACACGAACTAGATATCGACTGCCTTTTGTGCTACTCATCTCCAACAACGATGCGAAAATAAATATTGCAACTGCACGAAAGTTATCGGACGCAGGCGAAACATCAACCCCTGTTCACACCCTGCGCGTAAGCATTGGGTTAATTTAACTTCAAAACAAGACAGAGAAGGAAATATGCGAAGTTGTGTATTCAGCATAACGTATCTATCCTTGCCCTAAGGGTTGACTGAACGACTTCTGTTCATTAGTTGAATCATTAATCATTAAATATGCGTGAATATTAGGAAATATCTTAGAAGCAAATTCACAGGAAAGAAAGAACATAATACTGTTGTGTTAAATTTCTTCGAAATGTCTCTTTCGCGTCAATGTGATTCAGGAATTAAACACGAGCTAATAGGCCACTTCTAATTAAGACCACTGAATAAAACAGGTAGCGACATCTCCCTTCTTCTCTAATGCGCATGCCTGTATTTTTATCTTTAACTTTCTAAAGGTGTACGTTATGAGACTAGAAGCACAATGTCACTTTGAACTTTTTAGGCCTGATTGGACTATCCGGGGATACGGAACAAAAGAAAGACGCTATGAACCTCCACCTTGTGCTTCTTCCTACACTGATCGGAGCCATTAGGTCGTAGACTTTGCTGCGATCTGAATGCCAAGGCAATCCCCTCCCTTCTCTCACTTCTTCACAGATCCGCATATCTTATTATCTCTACATTTTGCTCTTTCGCACTCATACAACCTTAGGATTGTTCACAAATAGCCAGTGGCGCTTTCGAAAGACGCCCGTTTCTTTTCTGTGGGGAGGGATTTTACTGCTAACTAGTCAGGGAGACAAACCAAGGTAAAGTTATTTATATACCATTTCTTTACAGCCAGAAAAAACCCAGGAGGAAAAATAATGAATAAATCAGCATTATGTGTCTCAGAGTTTATATCACCCGCTCAAACTCGAAACTCCATTTCGCTGCCACTTATGAAATTTTTTTTTGTGTCACAATATATCGGAACATCTTACATTCTCACTATTGCCTGCGACTTATTTACCACCTTCAACTTTTCAATTTGCCCTATTGTTTCCAAAATGCCTTAAGGGATGCAGCAAGGCGATGCAAGTATAAATGAACACACCTATCGAACTGTAGACTAAACACAGTCCGTCAGCGCACAGATGCACCGAAGACAGTTTGTCAAGAGACTTATGTACAAAATTTAACGTGAATTTATAAACATACACAAATATGAATAATGCGAGAACTATACAAAGCCATGGAATTTAGTTGCATATTATTACTCAACCAAACACTGAGGCAGCATTGAGTAAATCTACTGACGTACGCGATTATTTCAAAGGAGCCAGATAAGCAATGTCGCGCACTAAACTGTTATGCTTAACGGCTAACACAACTTCACATGCCTGTCAATTTCTTTCCACCAGTACCACACTGGATTTCACAAAGGACGAAAATCTTTGGGCCAGCCTAATCGGACTCTTCAGCTTTTCTATGTACCGATGCTACATGGACCAGATTGCTGCGCAGAGATACCTCGCAGCTAAGACCCTTCAAGATGCGAAAAAGTATACTATTTCATCTTTGATCTAAGTGCCTAATTTAAACTATCTTCAAAGCAAACCGATATTTCAAATTTTTTTGTATAAGTGTTACTTTAATGTTTACCTATTTAGCGGAAAAGGTGTATAACCCTGATTTTGAATTGACTTCATACTCGCACTATTTTGCAAGACCTCTTCCTGAAGTGAACGGATTGGTCTACATAGAGTTAAATCTGTGCAAGTCGGGGGTGATCTCTTTATATACTGCAGGGTGAATTCCTCACCGAAAATATTGCAAGGGAGAAATTCATCCAGTCTGATTAGGGTTGATTATTAAGGCCCGGCCTAAGCACAGTTGGAGATTAGGAGCCTTTATAGGTGACTGTAACCCCGTAACATACAATCCGTGGAATGCGCTTTATTGTGTAGTTTGTGATTATACTGCACCTGGTTAAAATGGGTTCATATTTGAAAACGCTTTTAGGTAGATACATGGTAAAGTATAAAGACCACAAAACCATTGATAATTTCAAAATCTACGGTACGTATTGCTCAGGCATTGTCACTGCATCGTCACTGCATCGTCGCGTAGACTCTGGTGCTATGAACTACTGTGGACTCCAAAACCTCTGTGAGATGATCAATTTCTTCTTTTTTTTTTTGGCTTTTGAAGCAAAATAAAGCTCTCGTTTTTGTGGTGGCAGAGAAAGTCATCAATTTTATTGTGAACTTTGTTACTAGACAAACAGGGATGAAATGTTTCTGTTTTATGCACTTATATAAAGTTTTCTTTTTAGCCTGCAAAAATGCCGAACACAGTCCGTATATTATTTTTTTGGTTAGCCGCAAAACTTTCCAAGGGTAGTCGTTCCCGAAAGCAAATAATGTGAACCCCGCTTTCCTGTTTGTCACGCATCACATCGTCTAATGACGAGCTGAGATTGCATGTCTGAGAAAACCTTCATAAGGCATGCAGGAGATCATCAATCGGTTCAGCTTGACTACAATGGGGAAATTTATAGCTTTCTGTAATCACGTTTTACGTCGCTGCGTAACACGCGTGCATAGTCTCTAAATAATATTGGTACGCGCTGATTCTCGGAGTAGACCTTAACGAGAATCCAGTAGCGGCAGGAGGTATAGTAGTGAACGCAGAAGGAATATGAGGCAGCATTAAGAAGACTCGATCTCCTGCAGTGCCAACTACATTAAGTAGTAACGCTTTCTACTACTCTGAACAACTGAATTCTCTCAACAACTGAATTCTCTAAACAACTGAATTTAAATAATTAGAATGTAAGAGCAATATATATAAAAAGCCTATTTTGGGCATATGGCGGGTATTAACCTCAGAAGACAGTAATAAATTGTAAAAAAAACTGCAGTTTACAGTTTTTATCTTTGTACATACAGGAAGCTACGCGGTCGGGATCAAATGCTAGTTTCAATTATATGAGAGTTCTGTTGTAGAGATCCTAACAATTTTCAGGCAAGTCTCTTCCCCAGGCCAGTTGAATCAGTGGCATCGGTTGTAAACGTTTAAAATATGTATTTCTTACTAAATTTTGCTTGTTGCACAAATTACTTCCCACACCAGATGAACATTGAAAGAGTACATTCGCTCGTCGCAGATATGTGTTTTCTTCGCCTATGGGAACCACAGAGGCGACACACAAAACGATGTAGACTTTTGTACGCAGGTGGTTTCCGTTATATATACTATATATTTTTAAATTGAGAAAAAGCAAAGACAAGACCGGCGCTTGTGAATGTTCCAGTTATTTCACTCCTGCGGCGTCACTCAATTTTAATTTCTTTTTTTGCCAAAATGAAGAAAATGTGTTTATGTTAAAAATATTGAACATGCCATAACTAAAGTGCGTTACTTTCAGTCAAATTTTTATATTCAGAATAAAATGGCATAGTGTGCCCAGTCTTACAAAAGAAAAGTTATTGCTGCAACTAGCGATATCCCTAAATTTTGAAACAGCCTTCGCGTCCTATGGCATCACAAAGCGTAGCAAGGGATGCTTAAGGAAAAAAGGGTGCGGAGTTTTGGCATGCATTCTTATTCGGGTTTCCTTTTTTGCAATTGGTTTTTTGCGATGTCACCCGCTCCTGAAGCGTTTGAGACAATGAAAAGTACAAATTTTGGGACTTTAATGACAGTTTTACCCACTACTACGTAAGTGCCCGATATCGTCGGCGGCCGCAAACTCGGCAGTAGCAAAACGTGACTGTTCACGCCAGTACACCGCAGACGAACTAAAGGATCGGAAGAACTACGTTTATGCTTTCGTATTCACAACTCATAACAAGTGGTTAGGTGTCCTCGCAATTTTTCGGATAACAGTTAGGACATATTTTTTTTTCAGGATAGTTTGCATAGGAACTCTCCTAACAAACCTGGGCTATATGTTGATATGTCTCATTGGAATTTCTCTAACCTATTGGTTTCGTGATTGCGACCCTCAACTTACAGGAGAAATTGGTCGACCTGATCAGGTAAAGAAATACAAAGTATAAATTTGAAAACCGTTTACTTCTTTATTTAGAGGTGTCAGTCCAATTAAAAGTTTGCTGTTTTAACGTATAAATAACGTACCTGAACGTGCTCTAGTTTAGAATATTTTATAGGCTATTATCATATACCTTAATTTATTAAAATTGTATTAGCAAGCTAACAGCGCAACTACGTTTAATGTTGCCTTTGTTGATCCCTTACGAGTTAACGTCAGCCCTAAATTTACATTTAAAAAAGGGGTAAATCAGACTGTTTTCGCTGATATCAATTTAGCATTGTTTTGTGGAGAGTATAACAATCAACGTGCTAGTCGCACTCAATACGAAAGTAAGTCTAAATGACATAAGGTAACCTACATTATAAGTCGATTAGTTGGTTCGTTATACCTGTAATTGTGTTTGTTAAGAAACATATAACATAAATACACATGAGTACCACCACAAAATCTCTATAAACAAGTGTTTAGGATACAGACGGTATGTTGGTGCACGCTTGATTCATATGGTAGATGGTCACTTCAATATTATGGATAACCATAATACTTTTGTGTAAGCAACGTGACATATGTATTTAAGGGTGCGATTGGCACGCGTTGGCAACCTGCATTCTAGGAGGAAACTCCGAGCTTTGTTTTGTGTCGCATATATTGCTTTAAAGAAATGTATTATGCTGTCGGCTCCCAGTTCTCCGTCAAAAAGCGCAAGCTTGATCTTATTTTGAAGCAGGGAAACGTAAGGAAAGGTTGACATGGCTTTAACATATGGCGAACTATAATTAGTTCAATGTCAGATGACGCAGATATTGTGTGGGATCTCCCCACCAAGTCGTCTTCCGTAGTTCTCGAGGCCGTACAATTTAAAGCATGCAAAGAGTGGAATAAAGCCATGTGAAATATCGGTGTTTATTAGGCAGGCACCACCATTCTGATACACGTTCATTCGACGTTGCCGTGGCTTCAATTGATTCAAGAATACGAGCGGATATATTTCATTGATATAGTAAAAATAACACCTTTAAAGGGCGGGCGTCACTGCATTCTTGAGCGGTCGTATTTAATTGATGGTTTATATTGCAGCTGGGCGGCAGACCGAACGGCAATTCATAAAACACATTTGAGCTATCGGCCAATAATCAGGCAGTCATTGATTGGAGCGACACGTGTGGTATGCGCTAGTGTTTCGCTGCTGGAAGTCCATTTTTCTACGTTGTATTAATAAATCCCGCGTAATCTGGATAGTTAGAAAACAAGGCCTCGGGGAAAGTTAATGTCTAATGATTGCCGGCCCGCATTGCAGCAATTATTATCTACTCGAGGAAGAAAAAAACTTCTGCCCGAAAGGAAAGAAAGCATTAATACAAACTATACACTGGGGTTCCAATGGTTTAATCAAGCTGTTGATAAAAGTCATATTTCGAAGTTTTTATGTTAAACAAACTTGGGTAACAAAATGTGTTGTTACTAACAAGGATAATTACATATACATGCATGGTCTTCAAACTTTAAAAATGTTTGCTTCATTTACTATGTTAGTATTAAATGAATAAAAGAGCCTCTTTTATTCATTCTTCAAAATTTAAACAAGTTTGCTTCATTTACTATGTTAGTATTAAATGAATAAAAGAGGCTCTGCCTGGCATCGTCACAATTTCTTGTTGACTGCATTTGAATTTTGCACTTTATTTATTGATTTGAATTCGCTGCCTCGGTATCAAAGAATAAAGCAATTTGAACAGTCGGCAATATAAGATACTATAACACAATAACAAACGAGCGACTACTGGGTGGTCGAAAGGACGACACCTGGTGCTGTAGTCTCAAAAACATAGCGTAAAGATTGCCTGGCGTGTGCCATTTTTGTGGTGCACGGGATGTCGGTAGACAGCAGTCATTCCCAAAGTGCGCTCTCCGAACGCAACCGCACGTCCTCAGAGTTCTGCCGGCCAAGCATGATTGTGCATATGAGTTATACGTTTGGCAGCTCGTTCACAGCTGAAATATTACACGAATGACAAGTAATGAGGCCACGAAAACGCAAGCAAACTAAACGTTTAATGGGGCAAAATTGTGCCCAAATAATAAAAAAAGAAGATAAAAAGGCTAGCGTCGCGAGCGTCGATGGCGGCGAAACAGTAGGATTAAACGCTGGAGCGAGACTGACTCGACAAGGTCGCGGGCCGCCTCTTATCTAGAGTGCGTCACTATCTCTAAAATTCGGCAAAGAAGGCTCGAGCGTCGTCGGCTCGAGGCGAGAATGAACACGCAGGTTCTAGAACGAGAAAACAGGAATAAATGATAGAATTTACGTCCGGAACAGGAATAGACGAGAACTTTCTGGAGGTCCATGACCGAGTGTTGCTTTCTCGGCCCTGCGCGTGGCACTGTGTTATTCTATTAAACATTTTGCAGTCATTGCTGTTATTAAGACACCGAACTCGCAAGGATAATATATGTCTGTACCACCTTAGTAAAAAAACAAAAAAGATATTTCTAACGATAACTGACTTCCGAAGCGGCTCTGATACTGAAAGGTGACGGTGACATCCGTCCGACGTATCTCCTTCTTTGTATTCACAACATTGCAATGCTGCACTTAGCTATCTCATGGTTTCAGCAATCGACAGCTTGCGCTAGGGCCCATTATACGCAAACAATACACTTTGTTTTTGTTTTGTTTTGTCCGCTGAAACACGCAACAGCATAAATCGTTTACTGTAGTTGAGCCTTAACAGCTGAAACAGCCAGAACACGCATGAGGTCATAACATTCATGGAAAATTACGGGCGTGACCTTGGCTCTCAGCATCCATTGTGGTAACCTCTGCATTTTCTTCCAACTAAAACTGGTGGGCGCTTGCCGTTTACTTACGACCCATTGTAAAGTTCGATTATGACTCTAAAAATAAAAAATAGCGGGCTAGGCAACTCTTCTATTATTTTAAATAATTATATTATGTTAAGGAATTTCTAAGATTTTCATTTTGAACATAGAAGGTCAAACGGCGGTAAACTGGCAGCTTACATCACGACATGTATATTTTTGTTATATTCTATAGTAAAAATGCAACATATTTACTGTTTTATTGACTTATATTGACAAATCATGTGTACATCTGATGTCGCAGATACTGCCGTTCTACGTTTCCGTATACCTCAATGATTTTCCTGGATTTCCGGGTATATTCCTGGCTGGGGTCGTGGGAGCGACAACAAGGTAAGGACAAGAGTATAGAAAAATCGCATTTTTTTGCAGGATTGGTTTAATTTCTAATAAATTAATCCCTTCGCCCAGCAGGTTATCTCGCGACACGTTCGTCATTTCAATGTAGGATAAACACTTCAACCCTAATAATTTTAAGCAAGACAATAAAGAGTTATATTAAAAGAGATATTGAGTAAGTGTCAACGACATATAGATAAATGAAGCTGAACTGGTGGCGCTCAGCTCTTAGATATCGACTTAGACAAGTGTGTTGCAAGAACACCCGGCTGATACCCGTGCCACACGGGCAACTCGAATCCATTTACAACGAATTTGCATTCGCCCCAAATGTCATCCGACTGGTGCTACACGGCCTGCACGAGTGGCATTCGCTGCAAATGTCATTTGCCACCCAAGGGGTTTGGCGGAACTCATTCGCATTCGGTCACGGGCCAAATGTGTAGCCTCCACACCAGGCCCCAAGTAAGAAAACACCATTGGGATTATGTTAATCAAAGTATACCCGAACTAAAAAAATATTTATTTGTATTTGCTTTTATGTATGCATACTTTTATACTAGATTTGAAGCGCGGCTTGTCATATAATTGCAAGCCGCTACTCGTTAACCGAATAGACACAGCCACTTCGCCTGCGTAGCTATCTTTTTCGCGTTTCTTCTCGGTTTTATTACGTTCTGTTCAAACTTCGATGTTTCTTCCGATGGAGCCGCAAGCGCCGTAAGCAGCCACGAAAGAGAAGTGGTCTGACAACGAAAGAACAGCTCTTATAAGAGCTTGGGAGGACAAGCTCGGTGACTTGCGGCGTGCCAAGCGAAATTTAAAAGTTTACGCCGCGATCGCCGAAAGCCTGAGAGCTCTCGGCATAAAAAACCACCAGCGCAATCGGTGCACTGGGCGGTGCGCAGCGAAAGCAGCAGCAAGAGCCACGGAGTTTGAGAGCAGCTGCTCTTCGATTTCACGAACGCGAAAATGAGCGTCCTCAGCTTCGGCTTCAAGCCTTTGCTGCTTCGCACGGTGCTTGGCGCGTAAATAAATGAGGGCGCTCATTAACCGTCGCACCCGTTAACGGTCCTCCGGTGTAAGGACCGACACTCGCAACTGTACAGGCGCCATTTCCTTTCGCTTCGGTCCGCTTCTGTCTTTGGCTTATAGCGGCTAGAGCAACTAGAGCGTCACCAACAAATGAATTACAGCGGAAACGCAATAAAAACATAAAGTAATTGAACAAAATATGTTTAAAACTACCTATAGCCACTTTCTAGAGATCATAACAGTGAACAAACGTGTTTAGCTTACAAAATCTTTTAAATTGGTTTACTTCAGAGCGCAGGCACTATCAACATCCTGGCGCGAAATGACATTCGAAATGTACGTGTAGCACGGGCTTGAAATGTAATGTCATTCAGCGCCCGAATAAGATTCGCCCTGACGGGCATTTGCCATGTCCGTGTGGCGCGGGTATGACTTTACCCATCCCAGTATTCGGGACGATCAAGAACGCGACGTACTTTCACGCTATCTCGGATTGAAACTGATGCGTTTTACCATCGGAATCGAATAAAATGCGGAATGTTGCGGAACCTTAAGCCCATTACAGGTGCTGCTTCCAAGCTTGGGTTTTGCTTGGCGAGCTTGAGACACATCGGAGTAGGGCGCTGAGATGTTGTGCGCCCTACATCGATGTGTTTTAGCGCCGCCAAGCACAACCCAAGCTTGGAAACCGCGCCGGTCAGGGCTTGAAGTTCCGTCGCAGTTCGCATTTCATTTGAACTCGATGGTACATTAAAATACCAATATGTAGCTTCAAACTTGAACATATAAGACGTAAAGTTAAAAATCAACTTGCTCCAACTTGCTACAAAAGGCTCACCTGTCCACCGAAGTTTTTCTCATACTCATGTGATTTCTTGAAAAAAAAAAAAAAAACTTCAGTCAATACTGGCTGCGTATCTTACATATTGAACACCGCATCGGCACGTAGCGCCTTGGGGTTGCACCGCTCCGTTTTACGGGCGCGCGACCAGCACGGGCCCGTAGCACCGTGGGGTGGCCTCCCTTGAAACAAACGCGCGCCGGTCAATGGGAGCCTTGTCCCTTGAAACTATTGCCACGCGCGCCGGCGACCAAGCGCGTGCGTGGCCGAGTGGTTACCGCGCTTGACTTTCGCGCGCTAGGTGTAGGTTCCATTCCAGTCAGCGGGTTGTCCTTTTATTTATTCTTTCAATTAGGGCCTTCTCGAGAGTTCGAGAACATTCTCGTCTCATTGAGATCCGAATATTCTACGTACCAAAAGTTCTACGCCGAATGATCCAGAAACCCGCGAGTCTACATAAGGGACTCCGCAAGGCGAGCGGAGTCAGTCTCGCTCCAGCGATCAATTCCGCTGTTTCGCCGACATCGACGCCTGCGATGCTACGTTACTATTATTTTTTTTCCGGCACAAGTTCGCCTTATTAAAAGTTTAGTTTCTTTAGTTATTTTTCGCCTCTTCATTTGTCATTCGTGACATTTTGGTTGAGGTGCTGGGTATTGTATTCCATGCCCGTTAAGCCCTCCGAAGACATCCCGGCCAAGCGACGTGCTCAGCCCCGGAAGGCTACCCTTCGCCGAAGAAGCCGGAGCCCGAAGAAGCCGTCGTACCAGAGGTCAGTCTCCCGAATCGGGTCTCTTGCCCGAGAACCGGAAGACGAAGAGCACGTCGTCGTCCTTCCCGTCGCACCCCGGACTCCGACGCCTTTCCACGGGGAGGTCATCGAAAATTGGCTGCCACACTACGAACGTGCAGCCCGCCACAACGGATGGACGACTGAGCAGTGCCTACACAGCCTTTACTTCTCGCTTGAAGGCACTGCGAAGCACTGGTTTGAAAACCACGAAGCCTCCTTCACTACATGGGAGTCCAGCGTCGCCGAATTTAGGCGGACATTCATTAACCACCTTCGTCGCAGGCGAGCAGAGGATCTGCTTCAAAGAAAGGTACAGGGACCTAACGAAAGCCTTACCAGCTTTGTTGACGATGTCCCGCGTTTAAGTGCCCGAGGCGACCCGCAAGCCGCCGAGGAAAAGAAACTTGGAATCCTCATGCGAGGCGTCAAGGCAGAAATTTTTGGAGGCCTGGTTTGCCATATCCTGACGACCGTCGATGGTTTTGTGAGTGAAGCCACCAACATCGAGCTCGCACTGATGGTTTGAGCAAGCCACTACCACCGACTCGCCGGGGAGCCTACTGCTCCAACCGTCGGAGCTTCCCTACTGGACCCGAATACCAGCGGTGTCGACCGCCCCCGGGAGATTGTCCGGGAAGAGCTCCGCAGCATCATACCTGCTGCAGATCGCCCGTCTTCTCTCTCACTCGCCGAAGTAGCCTTCCAGAGGGAGACTCCTGTCAGCGTAGCAGCACCGGAGGAGCCCGCTCTTAGTTACGCCGCAATGGTCCGACAAACGCCACCCCCCCCCCCCCCTTCCCTGCTCCGGTACATGGCGGCCCCCAGAGGTGAGCCTCCCGAGCCGCAGTATCCCCGACGCCAGGAAGATCGGCCGCATGTACGCCGAGAATCATCTGCGTCGAGAAAGACCAACCTGTGGCGAACGGCCGACCGACGCCCGCTCTGCTACCACTGCGGGGAAGCCAACCACACCTATCGTGGATCCCCTACCGCCGACTGGGGCTGCGTGGGTTCCACCCAAACGACCCACACCCGAGGTACAGCGAACGCCCTCGCGACATTGAGGAGTACCTTCGGCATTCGCCATTCTCAGCATCGCCTCTCCACCGTGAATCCCGCTCACCGTCGTCGCCCAGATTTTTAGCGTCTCCAGCGCCACGACCCCACCCAGAGAGCCTGTCTCCCCTGCGTCGCCGGGAAAACTAAGTGCGGCAACGCCTGGACGTTGCGCTGTCGAAGACGACCGAAGTAAAGAGCCTCCAAGAACGACAGAGCGCTCCCACTCTCCCGACGCTGCACATCGCAACGACGCTGCTGCTTCGGTGTCCAACAATCTAAGCGTTATTATCGACGGCCACGACGCATCAGCGCCCGCGGACACCGGAGCAGACTAGTCAGTCTTGAGTGGGAGGCTCTCTCGCCGCCTGCGAAAAGTGACAACGCCGTGGGAAGGCCCTTATATACGAACCGCCGGTGGGCACGTCATCACACCAGTCGGGAGATGCACTGTTCGCGTCGAGATCCACGGTGAGACGTGCCCTGTCAAGTTCGTCGTTCTGCAAGACTGTTAAAGGGACGTTATCCTCGGAATGGACTTTCTTTGCGAGTATCGCGCCGTCATCGACCTTGGGGCAGACCAGTTGACGCTGTGAAAACCTGTTCTGCCGCCGGTGGAGACCAACACGACGTCAACCGCGATCCGAATTATTGCAAACCATGTAAACCTGCCGCCGCGGTCGAGTGTTTTCGTAACCGTCGTAACCGACGCAGCCATGCACGGTGAAGCTCTTCTGGAAGGCAGCGTCCAACTGGTCCTTGAAAAAGGCATTGGCGTCGCACGAGGCGTAACGGGTCTCCAAGAAGGACGTACAACTGATCTCGTGACAAAGTTTCGAGAGGAGCCGCAGCACCTAACGAAGGGTATTACCGTGGGCCACGTCGAGGAGCTTCAGGCGCCAGCTGTGGTCACCACAATCGCTGAGGAAACCTTGTCGTCCCAGCAGAAGATCACGTCGCCGCGGCAGCTTGACATCGACCCCGAGCTCCCGGCTCTTAAGCGCCGGCAGTTGGTTGATCTTCTCGCCGAATACAGTGACTGTTTTGCCACGTCTTCGAAAGTTCGCCAAACACCTATGCGAAACATCGCATTTTTACCGACGACGACGCGCTGTATGTCGACCAGTCACCGTACAGAGTCTCCTTAAAGGAAAGGAATGTGATTCAAGATCAAGTCAAGGAAATGCTCAACGACGACATCATTCAACCCTCAAGAAGTCCGTGGGCGTCCCCAGTCGTCCTTGTAAAGAAGAAGGACGGAATCCTGAAGTTCTGCGTGGACTATCGTGTACTGAATGCTGTGACTAAGAAGGACGTCTATCCGCTTCCCCGCATCGACGATACGCTAGACCGACTGCCCCACTCCCAATATTTTTCGTCGATG